GCATGACACTCAAGATGGCCTCCACACAGGCCAGTAACTGTTGCTGCACCTCCACCTGGAAAGCCATTCAAGTCACAGTTTGACGCCAAGTAAATGCCACTACATAAAAATACCATATTTTCTTGTGTCCATTGAGCTTTACAACATAAGCAGTTTCATTGCTTTAAGTTTAACTAGACAGACAATCCACTGTTTGTTCACAGGCAACTGGCTGCAAGTGATCACCTTATCACCACACTCACATGACAATCAGCTGCACAATACTTTTAATTTTGTCCAAATTGCCACTTCAATGATTTCACCATGCCAGAATTCACAATGGAAATGTATAATTCATCCTCTCTACCTCAAGGGCTCATAGATCCAATCCTGTGATTCCTGTGATCTCAAATTAACTGCCCTTGATTTTCATAAATCGACCAATCAAACGTCGAGATAAGGATAAAGGAAATGGGTATATCACAGGGAATGCTTGGTAGCAAAGGGACTTGCCACCGCCAGTTTTAATGGACACAAAGACAAACCTTTCCATCAAAAAGATATTTGACGATTTACTGGTTGCATGTCAGTCAGTTTTTCAATGTTGAATTTTTCGCAAACTATCGTAACCAATGGGACTGGCCACCATGTTGTTGATATCACCAACCCAACATTGAGGCTGGTTAGTAACTTGTATTCTGATAGGCTGAGTAGCATAGCAAATCAAATTGCCTAATAAAAATGAAGGACAGGCAATTTGAGTTTGTGGGAACCACGGAAATGGATCCAGGGGTTGGTATAGGTTTACCAACATGCAAGCCATGGAGATATAGAGGATGTGTATAATTGAGACAACAAGGTTTGCAGATATTACACAGAATCTTTTCCTACCTGCACAGACTGACAGATGTCTGGTGATGCGAGTGTGTCTGCCACTGGTTTCATGTATCCATGGAGATCAGACCTGGAAGTTCCTCGAGTGACAGATGCCAGCACCATCAGGGAACCAGAACACTGTGTGGCCTTCACATTGTCCAGCACCAACTTGGTCCATATCTCTGGCTTCACAAAGTAACCAATAAGTTCAGCTGATCTCTGAATCTGAAACCACATCCTTGAAACATAAACATCTGAAGGGATACAGTCCTTTGCACTGTCTCATGTTCTCATCTTTTATCTCAGACTCTCTTCTTTGTATTAACAGTTTTGAAATAGACATGATAGGTGAGGCTGAATGGGTTTTTGGTGTCATGTTCAAAATTATTGCAGTTATATAGCAAGATACGCGCACATGTGTGGCTGCTTGTAGTCTGTACTAGCTTCCAGTTTTATGTGCTTGCCTACTGAGATTAACATGAGTACCCGACTCAGACCAAGTATACTGACTCAAAGCTTAATGCCAAATGCAAGGCAGGGTAACAACAAGTACCATTTTTTTTAACTTCTTTTGGTATGACGTGGCCTAGGATCAAACCCCTGAAGATGCTCTATCCACTAGGCCATGCAGGTGGTCCTAGCCATGATATTTTAATGATAGTCTAGTGCTGATTGTGTTATGGACCAGTGCTTGTTATCATTTCCAGATAAATTCTGCTTTGGGCATGTTGGGGGCAGATTATAATTTTTCTATCCTTGATTGTGATGATGACTGTCTACTCACATCAGTGACCACTCTCTTATCCTCGTCCATGCAGGCCTTGTACAGACTGGACACCAGTTTCTCCATGTGCTGCGTCACGTAATCCTCAGTATTGACCAACAGAACATAGAGAAGAGCTGCCGACTTGACACGGGTCTCCACCACCCAGTCTCCAACATCCCGCAACAGACCTACCGGGAATATGTTTATATTCATGCCAGGCATACTGTTATAATGTTACTTTGTTAGCTTATTCCAAGTATTGGAAGTAAGCATCTAGTCTAAAAACACTTTACTGAACCGTATGAACATGATGAAGAAAGATTACTATTATTATATTCCAGTATATATGAAGAAAGTAAGGAGAAAAACAATGCATGTCTCTTCAAAGGAAGTAAACCTACCCGGTAAAATCTTCGACAAATGTCTCATCACCAAAGTCCGACATCCAAGGTTGGGTCTTTCAACTGAAGAGGTAATAGCAGCGTGGGTTTCCATTAACATGATTAAAATGTAAATGATTTTTTTATTTTTGTGCAACTTCATCATGTTCAAGTCTGCAATTTGACATGTTGAAAATTGTTGTCTTTACCACAATAAAGTCAAAGCTATAAACATGATAGACAAATATGATAAAGTTTTCTTATCCTAAAAATGCTGTAATTATATATTAGCAAGATAAACAATAATAAAAGCTTTTACGCTAACACAGATTAAGTAAATAACTGACCATCTGGAGGATAGTGTGTAGGATTGGCAGCTGCAAAATCTATCTTGTCTTTCATCTCTTCTTCATTTTCTCTCTCATACTTCATTCCTGGGACAAATAATGATGATCAACCATTATCCAGAATGGAAAATCTTGATCTACACTGTACCAAACATGCTAAACATCATGTATCACACATGTACCATCATGTACAAGAAAACAGGTTAAGTTAATGAAAAATTCTGCTATGACATGCCACTAAAACTTAAAAATCAACACAACAACAAAACTTCAAATTTTCATTTTGATATATTTGCAATCCATAATTATGTTAATCCATAACTGAGCAACTAATACATGAATACATCATGATACAAATGGAAACAACAATTATTTTAAATTTTCACTTTACCAGTAGTTAAGTTTTCCAATCCCATATTTGGTGCTACCAAAAACATGATCATGATGGGATGGATCTTCCTGTGGCAAGGGCATTACCGAATATAACTATCGGGTTGACTAACGAGTCTATGCAAATCTCGTAATGAACTAGACATCCGGTTCATGAACAACATGGATTTCAACATGCCCATTTCGGTCGACTGCATGATTTGCAGAGCATGTGTATCACCAACTGGGCATTTTATTCCAATATAGATCGCGATTATCGATCAGATCGTTTTGACAGGATGCCACCATTTTGTTTGAAGCAAATGCAAGTGCTAAGAGAAAGGGAATCTGATTGGATCTGAATCTAAAAAGTGTATTATTAACAGTGTTCAAACTTAAGCATGAAAACACAGGGGTCTTTGTCATTGTCTTAATGTTCAAAGTTGCAGACTTAGAGGGTCCCTAGTTTCAAATACTACAGGAGCAAACCCGAAGAACCTCCCTTAATTTTGAGTACTGATTAGTCACTATCATCATGCAGCATCAGAAATTATGTAAGGTATGTCAAGGGGTCCTTGTGGTATGCCCCTATGGTATTCATATCAAGGGACCCCATAACATCAGAGTTATGACGAGGACCCCTTGACTTTCATTCTACCTTTCGAACACTGTCACGTGTTTGTCAAAGTGAAATTTACTTACCTATGTCATACCACAATGTGTCTGCTAGTTCGTTGATATCGGTTTGTTCATCTGTGATGCTGGTGAGGATGAGAGGTATCAGTTTGTGGTGGAATGAATACCGATCAGGAAGATCAAGTAGCCAGCCACCCACTACCTTTGTCACTGCTTTCCTCACCACTGGCGAATGATCGAACAGGCGTTGTGCTAGGTGGGACGTCACTGTTTCCACGGCTTTCCCATTTCCATATTGAATGACAGTTCCTAGTTGACACAATACTCAGTGAAGTGTATGTTTTGACAATCAATACTGTACCGTCCGATCATAGGTGTTTTTACATCATATGTTTTCAGACGGTCATGTTTATCACGATTACTTGCGCTAAAATTATGGGTGTGGCGTCACAGACTTTGTAAGTACTCAGATGGCTTGTTTTTAAGATAAAGTTGTCTTTTATAAGTGAGTAAGATGTTTTACAGATGTTCACATGATTAGTGAGAAAACAACAAATGTTTCCTAAGTGTCCACAAACCCATAATAGGGGGATATATGTTTTTGAAGTAATTATGCTAATATCAGTGATGGGTATTGTTGAACAAGCACATGATGGCTTACAAACTTAACAGTATTTTGACAGAAATTAGACTTTACATGAACATAAACTGACTTTTTTCAAAAGATTGAATCAGTACCTTAAACACACATACATTGTGTTGTCAATGACGTGTAACCATGGCAACAATCAAACTCAAATGTGCTTTGAGCAAACAATTAGTCAGAATTATTAATCTTTCTCGTTGAAAACATAGCAAAAATACAGACATGATTCAACAATTCTCACCTATTGTTTCCACAACAACTGTCCTGACTTTTGCATGTTGATGCGAGACAGTCAACATCAGTGGCTTGATGAGTGATTCCGACTGCATATGAAAATATTCAGGGATACTTTTGGCTAGTTTTGATGAACATCGACAGCTCTCTTTCTTCACTTCGGGATATGGATCGACAATAGTTCTTTGAAGAATTCGGATCGCATCGTCCAGGTAGATAGCCATCCTTTTTCCAGAACATTCTACGATTTGAACAAGTAGTTCAACAAGTGACAACCGCAACTCTTCGGACGACTCGGTTATTTCTTGCTGACCTAATCGTGCTGAAAGAACTGGTACAATGTAAGACAAGTGTTCGTCTGGCTTGTCTACTAACTTTAGATAATCAGAAATTAAACTTATCGACAATTCTCTGCATTTTTCAACAGGATCCGATAGAATTTTCAAGACAGGTTTCAACACCTCACTGAATATTAGAACGTGTTCGTCGGCATCGAGTGGCGGTTTTCGTCCAAGCGTGTCACTTCTGATACTTTCAAGTGCTTTCTTTCGTGTATTTCGGTTTTCCTCAGCTAAACAATTGATGTGTCTAGCGATTCCTTGAAGCACAGCATTCGAATTTTCGTCTAACGACGCCATCTTGTTGATCGCAACGCCTCGTTCTGACTGAAAACCGGAATACTCTTTCCGATATAAATGTGTTCCTTGCATCGATAGTAGAACTCGCACACATCGACTTATTATAACTTAGTCATGTTAGGAGTTTACATTGGTCAGGGTTGTTGCCCTTTGTGATTTGGAGGGCACCTGCCAGAAAATTAAGATGTAGCACGTTTCTGCTTTATTGATACATATTATTCATTTTGGTCAATGGGCGTTTTCAACGAAAGAAAGAGAAAGGTAGTTATTTAATCCCTTCGAATTGTCACGTTACAAATACTGTTGGACGGATAGATATACCATTACTAACGTATGTGTGTACCAGGATAGTTCTAACCTAATAATAAATACTAGAGGCACTAGATCTAATAATTCTATTCAAAGTGATCACTTTAATAAACAGGATAAATACAAAATGGATAAGATGTTTGTTTATACTTTCCTAAACCAGTGTGCGTATGAAATTGTCGCTTGAAAGAGAGCCTAGATGGAATAACATTTATTGACCACAGGCTCGATCTGAAGCAGGATAGTGATTACTGAATATTACTAATATTACACCGGACCCATATATATATATATATATATAAAGTCTATTTATATATATGGGTCTGGTGTTTCAGTAAGATCACTATCTTGTTTCAGGGATACAAAGTCTATTTATATATATGGGTCCGTTGTTTCAGTAATATCACTATCCTGCTTCAGGGGCCTGTGCTATTGTCTGTAACATTGAGCAAATATGATGTGAGCCGGATACAAGATGAACGAGACTAAACCCACTTCATCTCATATCTTCACATCCATCTTTATAACCATGATAACCAGGAAATATATCATGGACTTTCTGTAACATCTTTATAATGTTTCAGCGGGTTGCATCATTCCTTCTTGAGGCACACATAATCTGTCAGAATATGGAAAGCAACAATATTTTACCATTCACCATGCATTTCTCACTCACTAACACAATGCAAAGAGTCCATCATATAATTATTAACCATAGACAATATTCTCAGATTTTACACATTCACACCATTCATCTCATGTTCAGGTTGATTAATTGCATACTTTGTTCCTCTGCTAGGTCTGTGGATGATGGGAGTCTGCTCACTGGTTTATGGAGCATTGCTCTTACATAGAAACTTATAATCATTTGTTATGTCGATATGTATAGTTATTTCAAAGGTAGTAAAGTCAGCTTATTGCTTTTAAAGAAAAATTACTCAATATCTACTTACCTCATTATTTTTTGTTGATATAAATTAATATGATAATAATATATATAGATCCAGTGCCATTTTTGCTGAGTAAAAATGTTTCCACCAAGCCATGAGTTGTTATTTCCAAAATGTGTCATTTGGTGCCGTTTTGACATGGTGTCATTTCATCGCCCATCTGTAAAGTCTTAAAACTTGTTGATTATTAAAAATGATTCCACATAAGAAATGATAATCTGTTTTTGGCATAACTTGACTGTAGTCCTGATTCTTGTACTTCAGGGACACTTATGATGATGGTGGGGATTGTGTTGCATCGTCTCACATGACATGGTAGGCTTCAACCCAGCCCAGACTACTCCATTGTCTGCAACACAGTACGCTATTGCTGGAGCTGTGAGTGGAGCCATCACTAGGGCAGTGTGTCAGCCTCTCGATGTGCTGAAGATAAGATTCCAGGTAACTGGAGAAGTTATCATTAACATTAGGCCATGGGTGGCCCAGTCATCTAAGTCTCTGCAATTTCCTTAAGAGTTCCAGGAACCTATCATTGTGGTTTCAAATCCTGGTTTGCCCTTCTGTTTCCAGTTTTTTTCAGCACCCCTTGTAGGTTTTACTGTAGTGGTAAGTGTCTGAGACCTGGGCCCACTTGCTCAAAGAGATCTTAGTACTAAGATGATCTTAACTCCCATATTTTAACATAGGCTTACAATAGTCTTAGCGCTAAGATCGTTTTGTGCAAGTGGGCCCTGCATGACTTTTGCATTTCTTCCACAATAAGCTGACATGGGATGTAACTGAAATACTGTTCAAAGCAGTGTTAAATCATACTCGATCTCTATCTCACTAATGTCATGTAGAATTGACTTAAGGTTGTACAGTAAATGTGTAACTTTATTTGACAGAAATTCACATTGAGTGAGTGAGTTTGGTTTTCCTCCGCTTTTAGCAATATTCCAGCAATATCAAGGCGGGGGACACCAGAAATGGGCTTCATGTGGGGAATCGAACCCGGGTCTTCGGTGTGGCGAGCGAACGCTTTAACGACTAGGCTATCTGACCGCCCCAATTCACATTGAAAGACCATACCATAATACGCATGAACTCCTGTTTAGACTGGGTTGTATTTGATTTGTTGCAGCAGTCTTCCATCAGTTCAACCATATCTGCTTATAAAGGGTGGATAGCTCAAAGCATCTGTCATCAATACTTTCATTTATTGTGAGTGAATTTTGTCCATTGCATGTATTGTGAGTGATATCATAATTCTTTTACTTAAGACTTATATCTATAAATATTAGGAAATGCAAGAGTTTGAAAACAAATATATCATCATGATGATCATAAAAATACATGTCATTTTTTAAGATTCATTATCTTAAACATGATAAGTATCATTTGCAATTTTTCAGTTACAAATTGACCCGATTGTAAAGTCTGATGTTTCTAAATACTGGGGTATCCGCCAAGCAGCCAACAGTATCTGGCATGAAGAAGGTTGGAGAGCGTTCTGGAAGGGACACGTTCCTGCACAGGGCTTGTCTATTGCCTACGGCATCTCACAGGTAAATCAGAGAGCAGTTGGTAGCATGAGAAAGGGAACTGTCACCAGTTAACTTTAGTAATATTGTATATCTCTTATGTAAGGTCAGAATAGGTCTTTAGCAATTTATGCTTGCCGTAAAAGGCAACTACGTGTGTCATAAGAGGCGACTAACAGAATTGGATGGTCAGGCTCGCTGACTTGGTTGGTGCAGTGTCATCATATCCCAATTGTGTGGATCGATGTTCATGAAGTCAATCACTGGATTGTCTGGTCCAGATTTGATTATTGACAGACCGTCGTCATATAGCTGGAAAATAGCTGAGTGCGGCGTTAAACTACAAACAAACAAACAAACCAAAAACTCTTACATTAAGTGTGATGATAAGCTCCAGCATAGGGTAGGTGAATCATTCTTTATTTATTATCCCTTTGCCCTACATTGTTATTGGTTGTAGAAAGGTTTGATAGATCAGTGTTTTTCTGCAAGCATATGGCATACTTTTTGTAATTTTTCTCTTAAGGTATGGACAATCATTAGCAAAGCTTTCCACGATGAATTAAATATTACTAGACATTTATCAGGAGAGTCGTCATTAAAGTTGCAGATTTGTATTGGAAAGGGATGTTGTTTATCATCCACACTTGATTTATGTTTGGACATTCCCCTACATCTAGATCAAGATGTTGACGAATCCTGGTTCCCCCGATTATGTTTCTAGGTTTGTCAGCACAATACCCTTGCTCATGGGTTTCACCAATGTAGTTAATGCCTGAGACCTGCATCACTTTCACTGCGTTGGCTTTCTTCCGACATTAAGCTGACACGGTGTTGTATAATGTATTCCACGTAATAAGCGCCCAGGGCGCTCTCAAAATTAGAAATAGGGGGCTCTTATTAGAATATAATTTTGGTGAAAGAGTTGAAAGATCGTAAATTTTGTGGTTTATGCTGACAGCCTGAAATGATACAAAAGAAAAGTCTGTGCACGACATATATTTTTCCAGAATTTAATTGCCCATAATTAAGGGTGCATATAACACACAAGTGCGTATTATACACGAATAAATAAGTCTTGTGTACATTGATCAATCGGAAGGGTGCTAATTGGGATTGTTCACTAGCCAATATTAGAGAGGGGTGCTTATTATGTCGAATACGGTACCTGAAATACTGTTCAGAGTAATGTTAAACCGTACTCACTCACTCACCTTCAGTGAATGCCATGTGAGAAAGAGAGAGTTTGTCTCCATGTAATAAAGGTATAAACTTGACTGCTAAAGTCTGTTTGCCTTCAAATGACACATGAATTGCAATGTATTAAAGAAAATAGAATTTTAATTTTTTTTCTTTTAAACGTTTTTATTGTGAACAGTTCACAGAGTTGTAGATTAATACAGTATTCCGTCAAAGAAAATAGAAATTGTACCTTGTCAGTTTTTAATTTTATTTGTTGAAGAAGAATCTCTGTGAAGTTTTTAAGGAACAATGATGCATTGATGCATGTGGGTAGCATCTTTCTTGTTGGTAGTAGTCATCTCAAAACCCTAATTTGAATGAAACCCGACATTACCTTCAGATTCTGTGTGACCTGGCTGATTGCAAGTCCTTATACCCTGGCAGTGTGGATTAATGCTCATGCTATCAACCACTGGTATGCCTAGCTCACACTCTGTTGTTAGTTCCCCTGACTGACAGTAAAGTGAGCCTATGTCATGGCCTCAATGTCTGTGTTGTAAACATTGTAAACTTCTCAGAAACCATTGGTACAATGTAGTGGAACTTCACATCCTTCTTTCCGCTAATAGTGACACGTGAATTTGTTCAAAAGGTTTGAATCTGATTTTGAATATGTCCACTACAGCAGCCATATAAGAAATCTCTTCCTGAACATTATGCAGCCATTTTTGCTCAGCATGGAAACAAATTTGGTGCATGTGAAGACAGATGTGGGGCTCAACACACATGTTCTGTCTTGCGATATTTGATGTTTTGACCTTTGATTTGACCTTGGCTCTGTAATCGACAAGTCCTCAGAAACCACTGAACCTATGAAGTTAAAACATTGACATCTGAATTTGTTCCTGAGGTTTGAATCAAGAATTTGAGGCTTCTAGCTGAGTTTTCCCAAACCTTTCAAGTGTGCAATGTTATTTCAGTATGCTTCCTTTGAGGTGTTCACCCGCCTCGTGTGGGAACACATGCCAGAGCACTTGACACGAGAGTATCGACCTTTGACCCACCTGGTGTGTGGGAGCCTGGCAGGATGTACATCAACTCTCGCTGTGCAGCCGATGGATGTCTTGAGGACAAGATTTGTAGCGCAGGGGGAACCCAAGGTGAGCCACGTGCACGTCATTGGTGCTACGACTATCGTAAGTCTATGTTAAAGTATGTGAGTTACAATAGTCCTAGTGCTACGGTTGCTTCGTGTAAGCAGGCCCTGGTCACTTATTGCAGTGGGGATAAGAAGGGAGAAAGTCAGAGGGTAGGCGTGAGATTTAAATATTAAATAGCATGCTTTAAGCAGTGTTTTGATTTTTGGTGATTCCTTCCTCAGTGTGAAACAAGCAGTTGTGATCACCAGTTAGAATAGATCCCTAGCAACCTATTCGTCTTGTAGAGGCGACTTGATAGATCGTGTGGTCAGGCTTGGTGACTTGGTTGATTGCATGGCATTGTACCCATACTGTGTGGATCATTTCTCATAACATCACTCACTGATTATTTACAGGCAGCCAGCAATATAGCTGGAATTATGGTGCAGCTTTTAAAGTGTACTCAATTCCAAAATAGTATTACATTTTTGTTTTCGGACATTTCATACTCGAGGGTGAGCGTTTTTTTGGAATTCAGTGTATAATAATTCAGTTTGAGTATGTGAGCTATAGAAATAATTGCTCTTATTTAGAAACTTATAATCATCATTTGAATTAGCATAAAGCTTGTTTTCTTCTTGCAGATCTACAGGAGTCTGGGTGACGCTTGCGTGTCTATATGGCGTCAGGAGGGTGTCGTGGGGTTTTACCGTGGTTTGATACCAGCCATGACTCAGATCGGGCCACAGATGGGGCTACAGTTTGGCCTGTATTCTCTGTGTACCTCCATCTGGGATGTCACCAAGTCTGAGGACAGTGTTCTCCCAGGTGTGTATGCTGTACCCATAGCCCCCCTAGTACCCTATGCTTGTCTCAAGTACCCCATGCTTGTCTCCAGTACCCCATGCTTGTCTCCAGTACCCCATGCTTGTCTCCCGTACCCATGCTTGTCTCAAGTACCCCATGCTTGTCTCCCGTACCCATGCTTGTCTCAAGTACCCCATGCTTGTCTCCCGTACCCATGCTTGTCTCAAGTACCCCATGCTTGTCTCCTGTACCCCATGCTTGTCTCCAGTACCCCATGCTTGTCTCCAGTACCCCATGCTTGTCTCCAGTACCCCATGCTTGTCTCCAGTACCCCATGCATGTCTCCAGTACCCCATGCTTGTCTCAAGTACCCCATGCTTGTCTCCCGTACCCATGCTTGTCTCAAGTACCCCATGCTTGTCTCCTGTACCCCATGCTTGTCTCCCGTACCCATGCTTGTCTCCCGTACCCATGCTTGTCTCAAGTACCCCATGCTTGTCTCCCGTACCCATGCTTGTCTCAAGTACCCCATGCTTGTCTCCCGTACCCATGCTTGTCTCAAGTACCCCATGCTTGTCTCCTGTACCCCATGCTTGTCTCCAGTACCCCATGCTTGTCTCCAGTACCCCATGCTTGTCTCCAGTACCCCATGCTTGTCTCCAGTACCCCATGCATGTCTCCAGTACCCCATGCTTGTCTCCAGTATGCCATGCTTGTCTCCAGTACCCCATGCTTGTCTCCCGTACCCATGCTTGTCTCCCGTACCCATGCTTGTCTCAAGTACCCCATGCTTGTCTCCTGTACCCCATGCTTGTCTCCAGTACCCCATGCTTGTCTTCAGTACCCCATGCTTGTCTCCAGTACCCCATGCTTCTCTCCAGTACCCCATGCTTGTCTCCCGTACCCCATGCTTGTCTCCAGTACCCCATGCTTGTCTCCAGTACCCCATGCTTGTCTCCAGTACCCCATGCTTGTCTCCAGTAACACATGCTTGTCTCCAGTACCCCATGCTTGTCTTCAGTACCCCATGCTTGTCTCCAGTACCCCATGCTTGTCTCCAGTAACACATGCTTGTCTCCAGTACCCCATGCTTGTCTCCAGTAACACATGCTTGTCTCCAGTACCCCATGCTTCTCTCCAGTACCCCATGCTTGTCTCCAGTACCCCATGCTTGTCTCCAGTACCCCATGCTTGTCTCCAGTAACACATGCTTGTCTCCAGTACCCCATGCTTGTCTTCAGTACCCCATGCTTGTCTCCAGTACCCCATGCTTGTCTCCAGTAACACATGCTTGTCTCCAGTACCCCATGCTTGTCTCCAGTAACACATGCTTGTCTCCAGTACCCCATGCTTGTCTCCAGTAACACATGCTTCTCTCCAGTACCCCATGCTTCTCTCCAGTACCCCATGCTTGTCTCCAGTACCCCATGCTTGTCTCCAGTACCCCATGCATGTCTCCAGTACCCCATGCTTGTCTCCAGTACCCCATGCTTCTCTCCAGTACCCCATGCTTGTCTCCAGTACCCCATGCTTCTCTCCAGTACCCCATGCTTGTCTCCAGTACCCCATGCATGTCTCCAGTAACACATGCTTGTCTCCAGTACCCCATGCTTGTCTCCAGTACCCCATGCTTGTCTCCAGTAACACATGCTTGTCTCCAGTAACACATGCTTGTCTCCCGTACCCATGCATGTCTCCAGTACCCCATGCTTGTCTCCAGTACCCCATGCTTCTCTCCAGTACCCCATGCTTGTCTCCAGTACCCCATGCTTCTCTCCAGTACCCCATGCTTGTCTCCAGTACCCCATGCATGTCTCCAGTAACACATGCTTGTCTCCAGTACCCCATGCTTGTCTCCAGTACCCCATGCTTGTCTCCAGTAACACATGCTTGTCTCCAGTACCCCATGCTTGTCTCCAGTACCCCATGCATGTCCCCAATACCCCTTGCTTGTCTCCAGTACCCCATGCTTGTCTCCAGTACCCCTTGCTTGTCTCCAGTACCCCATGCTTGTCTCCAGTACCCCATGCTTGTCTCCAGTACCCCTTGCATGTCCCCAATACCCCTTGCTTGTCTCCAGTACCCCATGCATGTCTCCAGTACCCCTTGCTTATCTCCAGTATGCCATGCTGGTCTCCAGTACCCCATGCTTGTCTCCAGTACCCCATGCTTGTCTCCAGTACCCCATGCTTGTCTCCAGTACCCCATGCTTGTCTCCCGTACCCATGCTTGTCTCCAGTACCCCATGCTTGTCTCCAGTACCCCATGCATGTCTCCAGTACCCCATGCTTGTCTCCAGTACCCCATGCTTGTCTCCAGTACCCCATGCTTGTCTCCAGTACCCCATGCTTGTCTCCAGTACCCCATGCATGTCCCCAATACCCCTTGCTTGTCTCCAGTACCCCATGCTTGTCTCCAGTACCCCTTGCTTGTCTCCAGTACCCCATGCTTGTCTCCAGTACCCCATGCTTGTCTCCAGTACCCCTTGCATGTCCCCAATACCCCTTGCTTGTCTCCAGTACCCCATGCATGTCTCCAGTACCCCTTGCTTATCTCCAGTATGCCATGCTGGTCTCCAGTACCCAATGCTTGTCTCCAGTACCCCATGCTTGTCTTCAGTACCCCATGCTTGTCTCCAGTACCCCATGCATGTCTCCAGTACCCCATGCTTGTCTCCAGTACCCCATGCTTGTCTCCAGTACACCATGCTTCTCTCCAGTACCCCATGCTTGTCTTCAGTACCCCATGCTTGTCTCCAGTAACACATGCTTGTCTCCAGGAACACATGCTTGTCTCCAGTAACACATGCTTGTCTCCAGTAACACATGCTTCTCTCCAGGAACACATGCTTCTCTCCAGGAACACATGCTTCTCTCCAGTAACACATGCTTGTCTCCAGTAACACATGCTTCTCTCCAGGAACACATGCTTGTCTCCAGTAACACATGCTTCTCTCCAGTAACACATGCTTGTCTAATAAAGCACCAAATAATGAGGATCGGATACAATTTGTGACCTTGCTTGTTGAGTGTCATGGATCATTGCTCATGCTGTCAACCACTGTTTGCCTGGCGCAGACTCAGTTATTTACACCTGTTGACATATAGCTGGTATAACAGTGGCGTTTGACACATTCACTCAATTGTACATGTTATTAGACCCTTGCTCAAAGATATTTAAGTACTGCAACTTCCTGTGGCTGAACTTGCATTGCTACTGATACAAATTGCAAGACAAACTGAATCCTACTGAAATAAAAATGTATCTCCAACAAGCCTGTAATCAAAATAAGGCCGCAAAGATTTGGTGACCATTGTCATTTGGTATTCTGTGATAAGAATTTGGAGTTGAAAAGAAATCTACATGGAAAAGAAAGACTGACATATAGTTTTGCTTTTGAATATAAAAATTCATATTGACTCTGACATCCTTGTCTATCTAAAATCTGAAATAAGATAGTCCCTTTCAGGGTTAATTAACATGGCTCTATTTGACCTTGACCTTGACGTTACAGCTGCTGTCCCAAGCTTGGTGTGTGGATCGGGGTCAGGTCTGCTAGCCAAGCTGATAATCTACCCTTTAGATGTCATCAAGAAACGCCTTCAAGTTCAAGGATTTGAGAAAGCCCGAGAATCGTTTGGCACTTTCCACCAATACAAAGGTTTCACTGACTGTCTGGTGAAGTTGTTGGCAGCTGAGGGAGCCCGGGGACTGTACAAGGGATTGGGTCCCAGTCTGATCAAGGCAGCAGTGGTAGCTGGCTGTAACTTCTGTGTGTATGATCAAGTAGTGTACACCATGTCCAGATAACACAGGGTTTAGTGTATAGTACAACCCCCTTACCCTGTACCCCGGTAGTCTGGAAACATTGGTTATTGGGACCATTCTGTGTTTTGTGCAGGACCCACTTGATCAATGATTTTTCCAAATATGTTTTGGTTGGGTCTTCAGCATGTTTAGTAATCTCCTTTACTAACTGGGGCATGCAATAAGCTCCATAACATGCCAAGTGTCTGCTGATGTATTGTATTCTGACTACAGTGTAACCCTCTTAATCTGGTCTCTGTATTTTAACACTGCTACTGGATGTTTGCTGTACAGAACGTCAACACATATATGTCACTAACTTGATAACCTACACCGAAACGTCGCTCCTAATCGTAATAAAGACGTTCATCTATATATCTTATCTGTACTTAGTACTCCAACTTCTAAGCGCCTCTCAAAAGAAAATATACATTGTACAAAGGACATTATTCCAACAATTGTTTGGTTATCTGGAGATTTATTAATTGGCATGATTCCACTTTGAATGGTACTATCCATATTAACAGTGTTTCACTGTAGCAAGGTATATGCGCAATGGCCTTACTGAAGAGATGTGTACTGTGTCAGTATGTTACAGTCCCGGTGGTGTATGACATAATTCTTGTTGTTAAACTAGTGGTAGAGTGTCCGCCCGGAGAGCGGAAGGTCCGGGGTTCCATCCCCGACTGCGTCATACGAAAAGACGTTAAAAGATGGTACTTGTTGTTACCCTGTCTGGCGCTCGGCATTAAGGGGCTAAAACAAGGACTGGTCGGCTCGGGGTCAGTATACTGTGTTTGAGTGGGGTATTCATGTTAAACTGTGACATGGTATCTCAGTGAGCTAGCACTAAAAATCGGACTCAGTCCGGACTAGTACAAGCAGCCACACAAACACACACGTACGTCGCTATATGAGTGCAATAATCTTGGACGCAACGTTAAACCCCATTTCACCTCACCTCACAAACAGTACAACACGCTATGGGAACACAGCATCAGGAGTGAACATTTTTGCTGAGCTTCTATTTCTCATGTGCCATATTTGCCAATCATTTCTGTGTGTTCACTGGAGAAATGGTCTCCCTGATAATACTCTGGTTATATCTTTACTCATTCTAATTACAGTAAACTATGTTTATAACGAACATGCTGATAATAAACTGACCGGTATATTAAACTTATTTTTTAGTCCCGGCCATTTGTTGTATATGTGCTGTACATATGCTTATAATGAACTACGGTTATTATGAACTAAACTTAGTGGTACCTTTGAATTCGTTATAACCATAGTTTACTGTACAATGTTATTACTGACACCAGGTGTTATAGTAGGCGCCAGACTGCATTTAGTTTATATATTTATATATATATTACTAATATTGCTGCCCTTGTGAAGATTTTGTGTTTAAACTGGTCCCTAGGAACATATGCTTGTCATAAGAGACAATTAAAGGATTGGGTAGTCAGGCTTGGTGACCAGGTTGATTGTGACTAGGTTGTATGCCACCATAACATAGGGCATTCCTCATATTCCTCACTGGTTCATCTGGTCCAGACTTGATTATCTACAAGCCATGATTTGTTGGATCACAGATTTGTTTGGTCAAAGTCAGAAGTCAGATATGGGAATATGTTATTTTTTAAAAAGCTTACATCATCGTCATCTTTTTTTAAACAGGATCATGGAATGTTTGTACAAATATGACCTGTAGGATGGGGAAATATATATAAATGAATCTTTAGCACCATCGTCTGCTGGGAGATTAGTTTTTTTTATTGTCTTACCACGAGTAAAAAGCGAGTTAATTTTGGCAAAGTCTGTATATCAAGGGACATAACTCTTGATTTAGTATGCTAGGAATTTTGCTATGACACATTAACAGAACAATTAGGGCGAAACATTTATGTCACAATTGAGCATCATAAGTTTTATCGATGATTTTTTAAAAAAAACACTGAGTAACGTTAAAATAATTTTGTGTGTATGATGTGTCGGCGGGAAACAATGAGTGTATTTGTGATATATTACTTTTCAAATTTGAAGAAAATAGGGTCAGCCGATCTGTGATCCAACAAATAAAAAAGTAATGCCAAGCTCTTTTAAGTTGAATTCAAAGATTACCTCATGGTCTGCCCTTCAGGATGAAACATGAAATATTAACTTATAATGAAACTAGTTGAGCACACTCTTACTCTGAGCCTAGTTATTGGTATTACATGTATGAGTATTGTTTGGCCATTTAGTTATTTTCTTATGCTTTTCATGTTACGTTTTAAGAGCTGTTATGTGTATCATTTAGTTTAAGTTCTATTTTGTTTTGCTGTTAATTGTTAACCACTGCCATGATATGACATATAAAACATTATATTTTCAAAATGTATTGTTGCATTTATTTTTGTACACATTTTATTGAGTTGAGTTGTTTATTGTGAACTTAATGTTGGATCCTGACATGGCTAAGGGAAGCAACTCTCCATGGTGAATGAAAGACTTGGTCACCCTTGCCTCTGCATGCTTTAATGACAACTGAATATTTGATCTTCATTCATAGAAATTAGATTACTCATTTACAAGATAGGGACTTTAGACTACCTCATGTTTCAAAACATAGATGATTTATCACTATTCTACCATGATGAATCTTGGAACATGGGTAGGTAGGTCAGGTATCTTAGAACTTCCTGAAAAGGGGGTCACAGGAGAGAAAAAAGTGTAAAAATGTTACTCAAGTTCAAGATTAATTACTTGTTGTCTTGACTAGTTCAAAATAATGGTTGCAAAATACATAGTATTTCAAATAGAAGTGATGAAGTAGTCCTCCCACTGTATTTATTGAACTTCATCTTTGCACTGCTTGAAGTCAGCCAAGTCATTCCTTGGAAATCAACATGTCTTCCATTGTGGGGTGACTGCTTGTAGAAATAGTGACAAAAAACTTGAACTGAACTATACTTTATATTTCTCAACAAACTTTATTTTAGTCATTTTGAAGTTGAACTACATCATCCCGAGGCAAGGGCTTTAACTGACTATAAAGTTTCCACCTTTGCCGAACTAGGCTGGAATTTCATACGACGTAGTGCCATTTGAATTATTATGAGTTAAGTCCCTTCTATGTCCCTCCTATTGACCAGTCTTCACCTCTCATATCTCTTGCTTTCGCTTCAAACAAAATGGCGGCGCCCTGTCAAAGACAATTTGATTGGTAATCAAGATCTATTTTGTAATCAAAATGGGTCTTACCCCGCGAAGTGCATCAAAGCACTTGAGCACCTTGATAAAAAAACATGAAAAAATTTGGAGTTAACAGTACACACACTTTGCAAATCATGCAGTCGACTGAAATCTGCTTGTTGAAATCATGTCAAGTTTGTAACGCGATTTTGATTGGACTATGCATAGAGTCGTTAGTCCAGCCAAAATGTAACTCCGGAATTCCAGCCTAGTTTGGCAAGGGTGGAAACTGGACTTTTTTAAGTCAGTTAACTCCCTTGTCTTGGGAAGATGGCTGAACTATTGATGGATAGAGGTTATCATGCGAATGTGTTTTGGGATGGTAAATATCCCATATTAGGAATAAACATTCTATTTGGCGACCTAATTACACTTCGTGTTTTTTCCTAATACCCGACCAACCTGAATTTTCACAATAATATTCTTCTTCTTTCCCACCGAGGTTGTGAACTCATTTGGAAGACTTGAGGATGGAACCTTATGAATTTTCAATTAAAACAATGCTTTTAATTCCTTCTATTTCATACAACCAACAATTTTCCTATGAAGATTTTATTTTCATATTTTATTTCAACCACTGATCCTTCGGATTTAGAAGGAAAAAAATCTAGACACGAGACCTTAACTATGAAACTATGAAAGAAAACCTATTTCAAATGCTTAATTCGTAGAGTTATATATCTTTTTTAAGATTTGGAACTGAAATTCACATTGGCATTACACAATTCTTGAATATCCAGTGTATTATATCTCCATTCTGTTATGATAAATACCCAGCACCTCTTCGCCACAAAAGCTTCATTTTGAACCGTATTCGTAAGACATGTGCTTAAAGATGGCCAGCCAGCAGATTATAGTCATAAGCAAGAGAATTCCTGTGCTATATTAGTGATATGAGAGATGGAGATGGTGAAACATGGCTTTGACGGCAAATGGGTCCAGGGTTATTATCATAATAGATTAGAGATGTAATACCCTGGATAAGTGAGGATGTCATTACACTACATGTATGTGATTATATATGACCTATTGTTTTAGTTTATGTCTGCTTGTTAACTTCAAAGTTATTTGAGAAATGTCTATTGTATTGAAAGAGTTTGTTATTTCCATCTTGTTAAGTTTATGTGTTTATGTGTTTTTACCACTGAAGAAACAACGAACATATGTATCTTAACCTATGGGGCCTATGTTTACAAGTATTCTGAGAAAGAAATAGTGCCTCCAATTTTTTTTATATAGTTCTGGTACATATGTTATTCTATGTTGAGTGCAGTGAATTTAAGATTTTGCTGTTCTATATTTGTAGTATATTGGTTTTATTCAGAATGATGTATTAAATAATTAAGATTCAAAACATTGTTTGTTTTTTGTTTAATCACAGATTCTTATTCAGAATAATTCAGAACATATGCACCAGATATTTCCATATATACACAATTTCAACATTTTCGAGACCAAAGCTAATAATCTGTTTTCATTGGAGAAATATACTTGAGTGCCCTGAGTTAGGGCTGGGACGAGTCCAAATTTACTACCTGGGTACCCACCCCACTATTACCGTACCCTACCCAGGTACCTGCTGTAGGTCTCAAGATGTAGGTGGAAACTGTCCGATTAGGAAAAGTTTGACCGTAGCTCAGGTAAAATGTGTCTAGATATATGTATGAAACGATCTGGTGTATACACTGAAGTTGACTGAAGTTTTATTTTTATTCAAACATATAACAGTCAGAAGGAATGGGTAGTAGTCAGGAAGAACTGCAAACATTAGTGACTTGTAGTTTAAACATAGAGTTTTAGATACCTTTTGTCATTAAACAATATATCATGTGACTTACCACGGGTCCGGGTAGTCCTGTGGGTACCCGGATCCTACTCAGTACCCACCTGACCCGAGTACCCCGTCCCAGCCCTCACCCTGAGAATGTCTTCCAATGTTTCTAAAACGTTATATTATTATAAAATGAAACACATCATTCAATGGAATTATGGACTTGGTTAAGTATTTGATTACAAATAGCTAAATGTTTTATTTATTTTTGTGAATGGAGCCTTTTACGAGAATCGAACTAATAACTTCGATATTCGCAGTAAATCATGTGGATCCGTGTTAAATTACAGTTACTTCCCTTACCGGATATTCGATTATGGAATACAATATGGCTGCCAAAACAAATCATTTGTAGAGTAAAAACATACTCCGTGATTTATCTTGGTTACACTCGCATCATTTAATACAATTATATTGCCAAGTTGGTGACGTACACAACAGGACAAATGCCTTCTAAAATGAGCGCTGTGGATTTGAAGAATCAAGGCAACAAATTGTTTTCTGCTCGGAAATACGACGACGCGATCTCCTGTTACACGAAAGCTATCGTACGTTCTTGATCAATTTATAATATAACAATCGTGATATGAAGAAAGAAGGGAGTAATACTCTCTACATGGCACACTTTTTTCAGATTTCGATTAGCGCCGCCTGAACGATATCGCATTGACCCCATCGCGGCTCTCGGCTAAGAATTAGCCAAAACTTTGACAAGGAGGCACGGCGCTATTACAAATAATTACTGCTCGTTAACCTTGTGATCAGCACAGAATTGTTAACCATGTTTATTACTTGCACGTTAGTATTTTCTCCGCAAAACTCGAAAACTTAGTCCATAAATTATTCAGATTTTCTTCAAATTGAAATGTATTGAGATTAATCCATTAAACTAGGTGAGCATGGGAAGATAGCTAATATGTACCCTAATTCACATGGATACCAAACACTATGATAATGTGCTTCATCAGAAAGGGGAACCAAGGGCTAAGATTTAGGGGTAAACTACCCTGACCCGCAACAATACAGTTTACCAGGTACAGCTAACCATAATGCTTATTGGCTCAGGCTGACGGCTGCCGCTCCAGCTTCACCAGATCTCACATGCCTCTTCGATCCTGAGGGTTAGTTGTGTTAGGGTAGGTTACCCCCAATTCTATCCTCCTCCTTTCCGATCAAGCACCCTTTTACAATCATTAGGGTTATGTACCCCTTTCCGATTAAACACCCCTTCATGATCCTTAGGGTTGGGCACCACTTCCGGATCAAACAACCCTTTACAATCCTTAGGTTAGGGCACCCTGTTACGATGCTGAGCAGAAGTTGTGAGATAAGGTATTGGCTAGGTCTCTCTTTTAATGAATTAATCATATGTAATTTAAGGAAACTCTGAACACTTTTATTAAGTTTTGAGTTTCGCGGAGAAAATGGCCACCACGCATGAGCACAAAGGCAAAAATTCAAGTGCTGATAACTTGGTAAATGAGCACTAATTATTTGTGATAGCGCCCATGGTGTGTTGGCTCATTAGATTAATTCATTAGCTTAGCTTAGCTTCAAGATGGCAAGGTGAGTTCGATCTTTCACACAGCGCTAATTGAAATCAGAAAAAGTGCGCCCGGTAAAGTGCACTACTCCCTCATGACCCTAATTCATCTTATGCTAAGAATCGAAGTGGCATATGAGTTCAATGAAGTGACAGCCTCAAAGCCTGCACTTAGAGCCAATAAACCCTATATAAGCTGTTCCGGGTAAACTACAGTCTTGCCAAAAAGATGCATCAAGAAATAGTGATTAAAAGATATTACAAAAAATGCACATATGCAGTCTACAAGTCTGGGAAACATATGGTCAATCCCACTGGTTACTATGTTTGGAGATGGTTTAGGTACACTCTATTTTGTATTAGACTGCAATGTAGAATATATTTTATATATCTGTCTCTATTGTGTTTTGCTTGTGTTACATTATAAACATGGTAAATTAAAGCTCCCTGGCACAAGATATGTTTGGAGCTACAATGTATATAAATGGCAGCACACATAGTCTTGCAAATCTGAAAAAAACAAACCTAGGGGTATTCCTACCTAGCGAAATTGAACATGTTATCAATACACGACAGCTGTTATATTATTAAAGTACCAGTCTGTGCAAAAAACTTTGAATCAGCTATTTTCAGTAGATGGTAGTCTTAGCAGTGCTTAGTATATGGACTAGTACAAGCTGATCTTACTACTATACTAGGCCATAAGTAATTTACTGACCAGGGGCTTGTGACTAGTGGATAAAGCCTGTGACAAATTATATGTATGTTAATAATAATGATTCTTTTCTTTTGACAGAATAAAAACCCAGGCACTGCAACATTCTTCACCAACCGTGCTTTGTGCTACCTTAAACTGAGACAATGGGAGCTTGCTGTACAGGATTGCCAGCGTGCTCTTGACCTTGATAGGTCTTTGGTTAAGGGCCATTTTTTCATGGGTCAAGCATATGTTGAACTAGGGCAATACGATGAAGCTATTGCAAGTTTGAAGAGAGGTAATGATATTGATATGGAGTGTACATATGAAGACTAAACTTGAAACTCAACCTACACCAGGGATCCTTGTCATTGCCCTATTGTTAAATCAAGAAACTGGATGCATTGAAAAGCATCTCCTATTACATGTATGGAGAAAGATCTTTCACTATTAATTTGACTGAATCTATGTATATATAAGTGTTTGAATTAAGCATGAAAATCGAGGGGTCCTTGTCATTAACCTAATGTTAAAAGTTTACGATTGAGTATTTGTTTAGGATGTTTTGGGGATCCTAGATTCAAATGCTGTAGCAGCAATCCTCAGCCACTTTTATTTCCAACACTGTTTCCAAACAATATGTCCCATATGTAATAAGATATCAAAAATGTTATAATAAAGACTCATATATACTGCTTGAAATTAAGAGGGGACCTTGGGTCCTTGAGGATTTCTACTATAGTATTTGAATATGTGTAACCCCTTAAACAAATACTAAATCTTAAACTTTTAACATCAGGTTTATAACAAGTACGCGTGGACTTTAATGCTGAATTTGAAACACTGATATATACATTCAGCAAAATAAATAGTGAAAATTTTCTTCATGCATGAAGAAAAAACTTTGAAATGCATTCAGTTTCTTTTTTAGACTACTGGTAGTTTTTTTTTTGAAGATAAGTAAATCATATTTAGAACATTTCTCAATATATTTGACACCCATGCAGTATTTCTATTACGTTTTCCTTTGTGTTGTCAGCCTATGATTTAGCCAAGGAGCAAAAGTTGAACTTTGGAGATGACATCACAGGTGCTCTGCGTCATGCTAAGAAGAGACGCTGGAATATGATAGAGGAACGACGCATACAGCAGGAGATAGATCTGCAGACTTATGTGAATAAACTGATCCTTGAGGACAGAGACAGGTAGGAGTTTGAGCTGTAGACTTGTGTGAATAAACTGATCCTTGAGGACGGATGGGAAGGAGATTGAGTTGCAGACTTGTACGAACAAACTGATCCCGGGGTTGTACTTTAAATTTGAGATGTCCAGTAAGCATGGTAAGAAATTCTGATACTGGAGGGTAGATGCAAGTAAGATGCTGAGCTATACCTAAGTCCTATTCAGCTGTTGATCCTCCTGCTGGAAGTGTTGATGTTCATAGCTGTGTTGTGTGTCCCTGCAGGAAGAAGTCCGCCCTGAAGGAGATGTCCGAGCACCAGGACTGTAACGAGGAGCTCGACGGAATTGATGAGTTTCATGTGAGTTGCTTGTACAGCATGTCATCCACTTTCTTGTGCCACTAGACAATACTGTATTGATTACAGATTCAACTAATCAGAGTCAAATGAGAAAGAGTTAAATGCATTGTTAACATGGTACATACTAATCATACCTATATAATCTCTGCCACATTAACCTCCCATTCAGAAGTGAATATGTTAATGTGTCACACACTCTTGCCACTATCTCTCTCTGCCCAGTGTTTGACAGTGTTGATATGCCTTACATCTACAGTATTTGTCTGCCATCTGGTCATCACAGAATGCATTTCTTTGTGTTGTCACTAAGTGCACAGGGGTGTGGCAACATGGGTGCTGAGTACCCGATCTGCAGCAATATTTCTCCTATGCTGGAGATCTGGGGTAGAATTGGTCTTCAGCAACCCATGCTTGCCGTGAAAGGTGATTATGCTTGCCATAAGAGGCGACTAACGGCATCAGGTGGTCAGGCTCGCTGACTTGGTTGATGCAATCACTGGATTGTCTTGTCCAGATTCTATTATTTACAGACTGCTGTCATATAGCTGGAATATTGCTGAGTGCGGCATTAAACAACAAACAAACATCATCCTAAGCTGACAACCAGCTGATACACCAGTCTTTTGTATCTTCCATGACATAGCCAGAAGCTTATAATGAGAGACCCGTTTATTTAGTGAATGTGTGTGTGCTTGCCTTTCTGCATGATGTGACAATGAACCCATGTGTCATGGTTGATGTATGTTTTCTCTTTCAGGAAAACAAACTAAGATCTGTGAATAATTTGTTTGGTCAGTTGGATGACAGGAGGAAGGTAAGAATCAGACCGGTCATCTGTCATTTATTGTATGTTATATGAGGGGGAAATGGCTGTCGAGCGCTTCAGCCTCTGGCTATTTCACACTCGGTCTGGCTATTTCGCACTCGGTCTGGCTATTTCGCACTCGGTATAAGGAGATTGTAGTAAGGGAGGCTACTACATGTACTACATGGTGTTGTAAGGGAGGTAACTCTAGGGTGACAAGAATTACAGGTTGATCATCATTTGGTTAAAAAAGATTATCAAGGAGTACAAGTGTGACTCAACTGGCTCATCACACCCCAGTGGTGTGGTTATTTGCACATGATATAAACCAGTGCTTTGCTTAGCCCAGTCTTATTTACTCCATGAATATAGCCAACTGTGACGTAAAAGACCATTCACTGCCTTCATTGTCTGTGTAATTGACTGGCACCATCAAGGCGATGAGAGATGGAAAGACTGTAGGAGGTTGGATTTGGCTGTTTGGTAGAACTGTTTTGAGTCTTCTGCACTGTTTTTTTTTTTTATCTTACCATGATTAATGAATACCTGTGAAGATCCAGGTTAAAACAGGTCTTCAGCAACCCATGCTTGCCGTAAGAGGTGACCATGCTCCTCGTTAGAGGCAAATTACTGGATCGGGTGTTCAAACTTGCTGACGTGGTTGACGCATGTCATCTTGTCAAAATTTGATAGATCGATGCTCATGATGTCAGTCACTGTATTGTCTCTTCAATTATTTACAGACCACCATCATATAGCTGGAATATTGCTGAGTGCGATGTTAAACAACAAACAAACAAACACAAAAAATAAAAGAGTACCCCGGTAATAAAATTTGAATATACATGTATTTGAAACCGAAGTTGTAATTTTGAAGACATGAGATTGTTGATTATTGCCATAATCTTTATGTCTATCTTGCAGAAGCGGGATGTGCCTGACTTTCTGTGTGGGAAGATTAGTTTTGAGATTATGCGAGAACCTGTCACTACCCCAAGTGGTATCACCTACGACAAGAAGGATATCATCGAACACTTGCAGGTAGATTGATGCAGAACAACTCGAGGATTAGTACCTCACAGTATGGGCCCAGAGTGGAACGTCAACTCAGTGTTCCAACTTATGCATGAAATCCTGGGGTCCTGGCCATAACGCTAATGTTGAATTAGAGATTGAAAAGGTCCCCAGATTCAAATACTATATAAACAAACCTCAAGTGACCCCACTTAATTTCTAACACTGACTACTCTACATTAGCAAGAGGACTTCAAGGGGATTACTGAAATCCTGTTGTAAGCACCCAGGAACTATTTTAATTGCATATCACTGATTTGATTCTGTCCTTAAATAGTTCTTATAGTTGTCATCTTGAACACTATGAATTTATTCAGATTTAGGTTCATGCTTTCCCTCACTTTAAGTCCCAAAGCACCGTTAAACCCAATTGCACCTCACTTCACCTTCCCCATGATCTGATTTGACTGGCCCAGACATTTTCAAGTGATATAGCTGGAATATTTCTGACCTTACATTTATGATATTTACTCCCTCATTTAAGCAATGAGATCATGCCATTAAGTAATGGTAAAGTCTTTACCTCTCTGGACTGCCTCTATGGTGTAGTGGTAGAGTGTACGCCCAGAGAGCGCAAGGTAGGGGGTTCGAATCCTGGCGGTTTCATACCAAAAGACATTAAGATATGGTCCTTGTTGTTACCCTGCCTGGCACTCAGCTTTAAGGGGCTAAGACAGGGACTGGTCGGCTCGGAGTCAGTATACTGTGTCTGAGGGGGGTATTCATGTTAAACTGCGGCATTAGTCCAGACTAGTACAAGCAGCCACACACACACACACACACACACACACACACACACATGCACATCACTATATAAGTGCAATAATCTTGGCGCGACGTTAAACCCCAATTCACCTCACCTCACCTCACCTCACCTCACCTCACACCTCACCTCACCTCACCTTACCTCACACCTCACCTCACATAACCTCACCTCACCTCTACCTCTCTGCTTGAAGATCTGACAACCAATGTATTGAGGGTATGTAGTCTTTACATGTAGACTTGTGATTGTTTTCAGAGGGTGGGTCACTTTGACCCAGTAACACGGACAGACCTGACCCAAGAACAGCTGATTCCCAACTTGGCCATGAAGGAAGTGATCGACACATTCTTGGAGGAGAATCCATGGGCAGAGGAATACTAGACTTTGTGTGTGCATGTGCGTGTGCGTTGGGCGCGAGCGCATGTGTGTGCACGAGTGTGTGCGCATGTGTGTGTTTGCTGCAGACAGATATGTTCAGCTGTGATATCAGGGTATGCGCTGGATTGAGAACTGTTGTTATTGTTACGAACTCTGTTTGTAAACTGTCACTTTGTCTCTTAGCATGCTCAGCAAATATGGTCACTACATTTTAAAGTCACATTTACTGCTCAAAAGCCTCATGCTTAACACACTTGATAGATGAGTGAAATGTAAACTGTCCCGGAGTTTAATCAGTTTGAGGTTATGATAATTGTTGTGATGGATAGTACATCATGAGGCCTTACCTGTAAGGTAATATGTAAAGATATGGTTTTTGTGATAGATAAGCTGTTTAACAACCCTATCACTGAAACAAGTACATCTAAAGCTGTGGTAACTATCTCTATGCTGCTCCCTACAAACGATTTTGATCCATAGCGACAAGTCAATATCAAGACTGTTTATAGGGAGCAGTACCTATATGGTTCCAACAGCTTCATTTAAAGTCAAGATAACTGTGTTGAAATGATGATTACGGCCATCTACAACGTCAGGTGTATGATATGTCTTAACTGAACATTGTCTATTATCTACAATGTGCATAAGATTTACAAGTTAAAGGATTTTACTGGAATGTTATTAATCATGTTTTATGTGTTATAATGTGTGTGTATGAATGCATGCACACATGGAAATGCGGAGTGTGCATGTTCTGAATATATTCTAATTGTCTCCAAGGTATTGTTGAGTAATATGTAAATTATCAGCAGAATTTGTGAAAATATGACATGATACTATTCCATGTGTGAGACTGGTGTGAGTGATTATTGCTTACCTCCACATCACTAATCTTGCAGCAATGTGCAGTGAGCCTATTCCTTGTACGTGTATATTACTTTAGAGAAGTTGAAAAACACCCAATTTTTTCATATGACAAAACCGGGTGTTCTTTACCTCCTTTTTTAGTAGTATATATTATATGTATGATGATGGTGGTGTTATCAAGTATTAGGGATGTATCGATACACCTTATGATGCAACAGGGAAGTGCTACATCCCTGTCCACATATACTGTGCTTTCCGTTGCAGTGTTATACTAATAAAACAAGTTAAGGACCATCCAATTCTTTCATATTACTTCAGTTCATCTGTCATGCCATGACAGATTAGCTGTAATTATATGAGAGGAACGAGCGGGCCTCTACTTGTTTTTGGTATTATTTTTTGTTTTATACATTTTATTTCACCTTTTCCCTGTTACATGAGGAGGATGGCCATCCAGGGCAATGGTCACCCTCACATTCTGAAGACAATGTATGTATACATTTGGGAAAAATTAAATACAAGTATTGGAAATGGTGCCAAGGTGATTTTTAAGAAATATAACAAAACATACACACAGTCAAGCATTCAAAATATTATTCAAACACTGATCCTGGCAAGAAACAAATATGAGAAAGAGATACGTACATATGTTATTGCTGTTCTGCTTCTTCAAACAATATGTGATAAGATCCATGATTTATAAAATGTTGCTACATTACCATTTGTAAAGGCTATATTCTTCTCAATTTTGAATCTCAGACAAACATCTTTTTGAAGTTTTGGGTATTATATTACCTGCATCATTGTGATGCTGACAGTAGCCAATGGGAAACATCCACGAGCCATTTGCTGCAATGTGTGGCATGCTATGAATATATTCACCACTCATTAACCCATCCTTTACAGCAGCACAGCCATGATTAAACTGTCTCCAGTACTCCTGTAACAGCTGTGTAGAGTCTTCCCACAACAGCACATATAGCACATTGTATTAGATACTTAGTCACAGAGTAAATGAGTATGATTTAGATAATATTCTAAGTGGTAAGTAGCAACACATTGAATTTAGAAAAATGTCATTTTTTCAGGTGTGTATATATTAATATGTGACTTTCACAATATTGGATTGCTCACACTTAGGTTACTTGCAATTTCATCCTGCAAGATAATGCAGCTTGTAGATATGTGGAACGGTACAATTGTTGTATAAAACTGGTGACAGCGCTTGTATATTTCCTGGAGAATAGTATTTGTTTGTTCATATGGTTTGAGAAATATGTGTGATTCTTGCCCTAATCATAGCAGTGTAAATACCATAGGATAACAGCTGATGATGCAACAATTATCGGCCTCAGTGTGTGTGGTGAAATCCCACTTTGTGTGCTATCTCATCCAAATCAGATTTTAGTGCTCGCTACCAAGCACTAAGATCTGATTTAAATGAGATTGGTTTCTGGGTGATGAGCTTTTATTGTGATGGGTGTAACAGTCCCGATACATTGACTGATATAGCTGTAGCATACTGGTCATATGAATGGTTGAGAAAATGTTCGACATATGTTCTTAAAATATATAAAGTGCTCAAGAACTAACACGTAACATCGTGTAAACCTCTAAGATTGTATTTCGATCCGAGAAGCATCATGATACATAGTTATAGTGCAGTCTTGCTAGTCTCATCCATACAGTGTAGGGAGGAACTTGAGGGGATTCTGGGCCAGGTCACTTGCCACATGGAGACTGGGTTGGCATAATGTGTGACCTGGTTGGAAGCTTGTCATGTTGTCATGGATCGTGGCTTATGTCAAACACTGGCTGCTTATGTCAACCTAGGCTGAGTTAATGATATAGCCAGACAATTGGTGACTGTGGCGTGAACATACTCACAGGATAGCTGCGTTAGTGATGCTGGAATAGTGAAGGGACGAAGTACACATGGGGCACCTGCTGTTGGTGGTCATGTTAAACTGTATTGGACTTCACAGCACAGTCATGCATCTAGTGTGATCAGCCTTTGAAATTCACGCTACTCTCCTAGCCTGAGACTACTAAATTGGACAGGTAAAATGCCAATGAATACTCATTGACTGGTTCCATATGAGGGCTATACTCTGAACCAGTTTTCAAAGCTTCAATGTACATACACAAGTTTGTTTATCACACTAGCCAAGTTAATATTTTGGTAAAAATAAATAATTATACCAAAAACTATGAACAATGTCTTGAAAGGAAGAAAGTGTGCTGCCAAAGGTCAAAATTACATTATTGTTCAAAGTGGAATTTATACTTTCTAATGCTAATATTATTTATCCTTATGTTTAACCTCTGATTTGAAGAAAAGGGTGCTCAAGAAAGACTTCTATACAACTCAGAAGAAGTTAAACAACTCCATTAACTTCTTTTGAGTTTTATGCTTTCTTTATCTAGCCAAACTGTCATGTTGTTAGGAGGATCCATATGTTATGATTGCATGCAGAGGCAGGTATGGTTTCATACAGATATATTTATTATGGTTGTATTTATATAAGAGTATTTGAATCTACCTATTGTCTGTTGATTATTAACATTTGCTTTATTTCTTCACTTACTCACCATGTCCATGTTTGTTTTAAGGAAGTAAAAGGTATGAGTGATTTGATTATCATGTTGTTGTGATTGTTTCGTGTAGAGGTACCACCTCTGTGGGCTAATGGATAGAGCATCTTGCTGGTTCGATCCCACCCTGTCATACCAAAAGATGTTAGAAGTTGGTACTTGCTCAGCATTGAAGTGATCATTTTCCCAAGGCAAGGGAGTTAACAAACTATAAATTTCAAGGCTCGATCGTAGCGCCACCAATGGTTATTACGAGTTATGTCCCTTCTATGTCCCTCTTATTGACCAATCAGCTTCAAACAAAATGGCAAGATGATCTGATTGATAATCAAAATCTATATTGTAATAAAACGGGTCTCACCTGGCGAAGTGCAACAGATCACTTTAGCACCTTGATTAAAAGCATGAAAAGATTTCAAAAATATCTGTTGACTCCCATTTGGCGGTACCCATGCTTTGCAAATCCTGCAGTCGACCGAAATCTGCACGTTGAAATCCATGCTGTGTACAAACAAAATGTCTAGTTCATTATGCGATTTTGATGTGACTATGCATAGACTCGTTGGTCCAGCCAAAATATAACTCCATAATTCCAGGCTAGTTCGGCAAGTGCGCAAACTGTACTTTTATAGTAGGGGGAACGGGTGGTGGCCCATTCGTCTAAGGCGCCGCGATTATAAAACTTGCATCATTGTGATTCTGACAGTAGCCAATGGGAAACATCCACGAGCCATTGGCCGCAATGTGTGGCATGCTATGAATATATTCGCCACTCATAAACCCATCCTTTACTGTCTCCAGTACTCCTGTAACAGCTGGGGGCACGGGTGGCCCAGTTGTCCAAGACGCCATGATTTGCTGTGCAGAGTTGCGACCTTTGGTCACGCCAGAAACCTATGATTGTGGGTTCGAATCCGCTTCGCCCCGATTATGTTTCTAGGTTTATCATCACCATACCCGTGCTCGTGGGTTTCACCGAAGTGGTAAACGTCTGAGACTTTCGGGCTTTCCTCCCACATCAAGCTGACACGCCTTGATATAACTGGAATACTGTTAAAAGAGGCGTTAAACCCAACTCACTCACTCACTCACATAATGAAGGTGACACTCTCCTTGGCAAGGATGAAATCCATATGGTCTGTCCATTGATTGTGAACATGCGGATGGTATGTGTTCGTTTTTTGTTTAACGCCGCACTCAGCAATATTCCAGCTATATGACGGCAGTCGGTAAATAAACGAATCTGGACCAGACAATCCAGTGATGATATAATGAGCATCGATCCAGGCAATTGGGATACGGTGATACATCAACCAAGTCAGCGAGCCTGGCCACCCGATCACGTTAGTCGTCTCTTACAACAAGTAAAGTCGCCTTTTACGGCAAGCATGGGTTGCTGAAGACCTATTCTACACCAGATTTTCAGCCCAGATTGTCAGCCTTGTATTGGCATGCGATCAAACCCCACGCCATGTGGTCAGTCAGTGGTTTGTCTGGTCAAGATTCATTTAGTTACATGCTGCCATGATACAGCTGTAACATTGCTGACTGTGATTAAACAACATTCACTCATTCATGCATGTGTAACCTTTTTGTTTGAAAACTAACGATTGTTTTAACTATTTGGGGGCAAAACCTGCAGTCAAGATCAGTTATTTGTCTACAACCTGTTCTTTTAAGCATACTTCAAACATTATTGATCCTTCATTCCTTTGCATGTAAGAGCCAGAAAAGTGGAAAACTGGTAGTTACAATATGTGACCTCAATGAGTATGTGACCTGTACCCAACACTATTGCCGTCAACTTCTTGACTGGTTACTAATAACTTGTCTATATCTATGAAGGTATTCAGTCGCATGTTAGACCGCCTCCGTGGTCTAGCGTCCGCCCGGAAGGTGGAAAGACTGGGGTTCGATCCCCGGCAGGGTCATACCAAAAGACGTTAAAAGATGGTACTTGTTGTTACTCTGTCTGGCGCTCGACATAAAGGGGCTTAAACAAGGACTGGTCGGCTTGAAGTCAGTATACAGTGTCTGAGTGGGGTATTCATGTTAAACTGAGGCATGGTATCTCGGTGTGCTTGCACTATAAATCGGAATCAGTCCGGACTAGTACAGGCATACACACACGTGCATGCACGTAGCTATATAAGAGCAATAATTTTGGAAGCGACGTTTAACCCCATTTCACCTCACCTCAGTCCCATGTTAAAGTGCGGTGTAGGTGTACTAATTACTATCTCTGTCAAGGTAACCACATGTCATATGTCAACGAGTAGTGAAAGCTTTCACCAGCAAAGGTACAGATTACTATCACTGTGGACTACAACAAGAGATATATGGGAACATGTTTATCAGCGTGGAGAGGTTTATGATCGTGTTCAGAAGTCATTCAGCTCGAGTCGACCACAACAATAGCGAGTCGCATTTTGAGTTAGGACTGTCATGGTATAGAGTGTTTTTCATATATATTAGATGAGTTCGTTCTAAGCTTCGGGTTGTAACCTCGCCATGACAGCCACATGGCGAGGACAGACGAGTGAGTGAGTGAGTGAGTGAGTTGGGTTTAACGCCGCTTTTGACAGTATTCCATTTATATCGCGGCGTGTCAGCTTAATGTGGGAGGAAAGCCCAAAGTGATGCAGGTCTCAGACGTTTACCACTTCGGTGAAACCCACGAGCACGGGTATGGTGCTGACAAACCTAGAAACATAATCGGGGCGAACCGGGATTCGAACCCACAATCATAGGTTTCTGGCGTGCCTAAGGGACGCATCTTTACACAGCGAATCGCGGCGCCTTAGACGATTGAGCCACCCGTGCTCCCCACTACAGACGAGAGAGTCCATTGTTTTGGGAGTCTTGTTTTTCAAAGCTTGGGTCCCCTTCTATAAAGCGAACTTACTGCTAAGGGGATCGTACGTAACAAGGACGTACGCCAGTCGGAACGCTAAGATCGCTTTGTGAAACGGGGCCTTGGTTATTTAAACAAAGTAATAGTTTTATAAAAACATTGTAAAAATAAGCACCGGTCAAATGTTATATGGGATATGCGGGGGATCGAACCGCCGACCTTCCGCTCCCCAGTCAGACCTTTGCACGTTCATCCTGCTCTTCAATGTCTCCTCTGATACTACTTGCCCGATGAAGCTGAAATGTGCTATGCAGGTTCCTTCTTATGAAGACATACTATATGTTTTCAAATCAATGTGATTTTATTGTAAAAAAAGTCAAATGTTACTTAAAGTTTTAAAATCTTATTCTTACCACAGGGCACAGTACTTACACTTTGCGCTAATAAAACATGTAATGACTCTAAGAAATTCCATGTTTTCATCAAGGCATCACTATTTGTATTCAACATCATTGTCCTGAATGACTTTGCAAATATCTATATTTTTTTTCTTTTGCACGAACGTTCCTGTAACTCACTATACATGTCTGTACCAAAAACGTAAGGTGAACTACAGAGCTTAATTAATAAAGAAATGTTTCCAGCATTGTCGAGAAGTAAAAAGATTGACTAAAACCTCAAACATAGTCCTAACTGATGTACCAGATCATCCGACGGGACCAGGAAGTTCTCTTCGTCGTTAGCAAAGTATCAAGTTCCTGAAATAGGGTGTCATCATAAACTCACCATGAAGCTCATACTAATTCCCTGTACAGCTACTCGCAGAGTTCCGGCTTCTATGGAGTCAAATTCTGTTCACATAATGCTAAAACACCATGCTCATGAATTAAATATGTTTTCACTCGAACATGCTTTCATTGCTAAAAGCGGCGTAAAACCATACTCACTCACTCACTCACTCACTCACTCACTCACTCACTCACTCACTCACATGCTTTCGCTTTGCTTTAATCGTCACTCAAAATCTCGGACGCCAGATGAGTTTCAAAGACGTTGACGATGCCGACTTCCAGTAGTTCTGCAACATGGCCCTCTTTTTGTTGTTACCAATGTGATTCTATTTTCCTTCATATGTCTTCTTGGACTTGATTTGATAGCATTTGCTGCTGATTTACGCTTCTGTCAATTTCCCTTTATCGAGTTACCTTCCTGAAGGAGATTAAGCCGTGCCACATTCTTAAAGACAGATATTGATGCGAATCACGAAGCAAAATACCAGTGAAGATCCGGGTTAGAATAGGTCTTCAGCAACCCATGATTGCCATAAAAGGCCACTACGCTTGTCGTAAGAGGCGACTAACGGGATGTGGTGGTCAGGCTTGCTAATTCGGTTGATACACGTCCTCGTATCTCAATTGCGTTGATCGAGGCTCATGATGACAATCCTTGGATTGTCTGGTTCAGACTCGATTACTTACAGACCGCCGTCATAGAGCTTGGAATATTACTAAGTGCAGCGTTAAGCAACAAACAAACAAATACGAGGCAAAAATAAACAAAATGTAGGTAGGAAGCAGAAATAAGAGAATAAATCATATCCCACTGGGCGTATATCTCACCACCTGTCGTCCTCACATTTCACTGTTCACTAATAGGTTTCATCTCGTATTTCATACATTACACACAGTGTAAACTGAGCTGGTGTTGGACATTGCTTAATATATGAACGTTTGTCACTTTATAGGTAGTCGGCGGTTTTTAGGGTTGAATATGACAAACAGAATAAGTTGAGCGAGTGCCGCCATAATGTTCTGAAATATGCGAACAGTCAACAGAAGAGCGTGGACAGATGACATTACTGATTTGACAGACATGGCCAATGCCCATTAAACATGTTAAACATTGATGGCAACATCAGATAGGTAGTTATCATTGTCACGAAGCAGGCAAATATGAACACAGATCAAGATAACTGGATGAAGCCAGTATAGAACATGCAAGTAGATGTCATTTGTTAGGAAGGACACCACAAAACCATACCACTTTAACTAATTCGTGTTGTATGTAGAACAGCAAAAAGTAAACTACGGTTATAACGAACGTAAAAGGGCCACCGATTTTAGTTCGTTATGACCGTAGTTCGTTATAAGCATATACACGGCATATATACAGCAAATGGTCGGGATCAAA